CAATTTTGCAGCATAATTATAGATGTTTTTATATTGTGTCATTTTAGTGTTTGTTGTAACACTATTACCTGGTGATTTTTCAGGAAACTATTCCATTTCTGTACAACTGAAAAAAATGAATGATCTTTGTGTGCGCTTCAGGACACTCAGCCCCGATGAGGCACTCAGGGTGTGGGAGGGACCAGGGCTGGCCTTGCTCTGGGTGGGACTCGCTGACCTCGGGAGGTCCCTTCCAGCCTGGATTATTCCCCAACTGTGGCCCAACACGATATGAGGCTCAGACTCCTCCATACCATATAAATCCATATTGTTCACTAGAATTGTGCTATTTATAACCTGCTGGGAGGCTGGTTAGTGATAAACTGTCTCATGCTCCCCGAAGAATTCACGTTATCAGAGGCCTGCTGCTGATAAGGGTGGGCCTGCAAACCCATCTGCTCCATCCTTTCATTTGCAACACAAATCAGCTCAGTCTGTTCAGACAGTGATTTATCCATTCAGCTCCACCTTCACAGAAATTTACTCTACGAAAACAGTTTGTGTTTTGGTGTACTTCCTTCATTTTAGTTCCACTGATAGTTTTAAAGACATTTTTGGTAGTGTGCTATTCTGGAATGTTGGTGTGTTGCAGAGAAGAAGCAGAGAGTGTGAGAGAACTGCAAACCTTGCTCGGGTGTTCTGACAGAGGGACACTGAGCAGCATGAAGCAGATGCTGGCTTTGTGTATGAATAATAAAGTAATTATTTGAGTATTGTGCCCACATTAAAAAAGAAGCTGAAAATTTTGAGACAATTCAGAAAAGAGGAATAAGATCAAAGATTTATTTTTCTAAAGAAGAAGAAATATTAGGCCAGATGAATGCTTATAACGCATTAGAGCAGTGTGGAAGATGCAGCAGATTGAGGGAATATAAAAGGGACAAGAAGTGCTGTAAAAACTTGAATGCACTCAGCTAACATTTCAAGATCATTCTGGAAATACTAAAGCTCAAATAGGAGACAGACAGCAGAATAAAGACATTGAAAAGCAAAAGAATATGAAAATGTTATCGTTAGAATTCAGTTAAAAGAACAGCATTCAAATTAAGATATTTTCCATTATTCTTGACACAAAAAATAAGAGAACCTATCTCCTGTTGAGTCTCAGCTGGTACCTCTAAGGGGCACTCTCTGCACCAAAAACTTGAAGTGAACTTTATTAATTCATTTCAAGGAGAGGCTTAATTAATGTTTAGACAGAGCTGACTCTATTAGCACTAGTCCTACAGGTGTCAGGGTTTACAGCTTTGATTTTAAATATGTAAAGGCCTTTTGCATGGAATCAAAGCATGAGAAATTCAGGAGAATTATGTAAGATTCAAGAAAACTTAGACAAAGTACTGTTAATAATCTGTGGATGGTGTTAATTTTGGAAAGACTGAGATGGCTGAGAAGTTACAGCCTAGTCCTGGCTCTAGAAGCGTAACAAAAAGGCAAAAAACTTCAAAAGAAGATTAACAGAAAACTGACTTCAAATTATTTTGCTTTCTGAATCAGAACATTGCCATACAGTATTTTGTTACACTTATTTCCACACACGAAGCCAGTGATTTTATTTCCTCTTACCTGCTTGCATTTGTCCTCAGCTGCCTTCTTATCCGTCTCAGCCTGCTCTGCTCTGTCAATGGCATTCTCCTTGTCCAACTTCAACATCTGCATCTTTTTCTTGATAGCTTCCATTTTTGCTCGAGGACAGGCTGGATCTGTCACGCAACTGAAAGAATCTTATGATTAAAATTGTAGATTTTTAACAGCTTGGACAGAGAAAGAAGTTGTACCCAGGCAAGCCACAGGGGAAATGAGCTACAAGTGGTTTTAGAGAGCTTTAAACCCAGAGCCCCCTGGACAAAACCCAGATCTATTGGCCCCTTCTCCGGTGCTCCATCCACAGCCTTTCTAAGGAATGAGCTGGAACAGACTCACTAGAGGAATCTTCACCACTCCATCTCCTTATTTGGGTCCTGTTTTCTTAAAGAGAAAACTGTTTCCATTTTTAAGCTTCTGACAGAAGCAAAAGTGTTGACATATGAACACATGCTTGAAGAGAAGCTGATTAGCTCCCCTTTGTGTGTGCAGAGCAATTAACCAACCCAGCAGATCTTGGGGATGGCCTGCCTTCCTGGAAAAAAGGCATGAGGCTGATACAGGGAAGGATCTCTTTACGTTACTCCAAAATAAATCCAGACATAAAAGAAATAATTTTTAAAAAATCTATGCCTAAGAGGTGGCTAAATTTAAGTTATAAAAAGATGCAGGATATGAGACAGCAGAGTTTTTTGCTGTAAAAATAAGCGCTGGTGTTAAGGAACTAGCTATAATGTGTGATAGTACAAAACGCATAACAGAACTCAAATTTAGATGTCAAGTTCAGGCTGAAGGCAAACTCAGTGAGTTTGAGTGCCTGTCCTTGAAATTTCCCTCACTAAATCCTTGGGGAACTGAACAACACCTGAAGTTTCAGTCTCATGAGCGCTGTAAATTATTCCTTCTGCTGTATGAAGGGAAGAGCAGGCTCTGGGGTGAGCAGGAGTATCTCCACTGACGGAGAGAGCATCCAACAGCCCCAGAATGAGCTCTGCTTCCTTTTGCAGCTTGATTAAACACGTCCCCAAAACCATTCCATCCCTTCAGCAGCTCTTGCTGAGCCTCACAGCCCCACACAGCCTTGTCCTGACTGCTCTGATGTTCTGATATTCTGATATACGGCACCTTCCAGGGCAGCCTGGCAGCACTTTCTGACTTGGCTGCCCTGGCACCTTCACAGAGCCATGGAATATACTGAGATGGGTCATAGACTCCAACTCCTGGCTCTGCACAGATAGCCCAACAATCCCACCCTGTGCCTGAGAGCATTGCCCAAACACTTCTTGTGGTCTGGCAGCCTTGGGCCCGTTCCCTGGGCAATATGTCCAGTGCCCAACCACCCTCTGGGGAAAGAATAACCTTTTCCTGATGTCCACCCTGGTTCTGTCCCCATCCTGTTCCCCACGGTGTCCCTTCCCTGCCCAGTTCTGCCGTGCTCTGCTCTCCGCAGCCCCTCACTCACAGCCCCTCTGCCCAAGCATCCCAGCCATGAAGGCACCAGGACACTCAACACAAGACCCAGAGCTTCCCCATCCTCTGGGGCTCAGCTGGCACAGCACTGAAAGGCCTTGGGGAGAGATTTTTAAGGGAAAATCTGCCCTTTATTGAGCTAAACATGATGCTACAGTGGACACAAAGCTGAAACCAGCGCAATGCTTGTGGCTGTGATAGAGTTAATTTCCTTCCCAGTGGCTGATACAGGGCTGTGTTTTGGATTTGTTGTGAACACAGGGTTGAGAATATAGTGATGCTTTTGTTATTGCTGAGCTTGCACAGAGCCAAGGCCTTTCCTGCCTCTTACAGGACCAAGCTGGGGAGGGGCCTGGGGGTGCCTGAGAGATTGGAGGAGACACAGCCAGGATATTCCAGACCATCTGACATCACTCAGGACATAAACGGGGAGAAGGAGGGGATGGCATTTGTCTTCCCATGTCACCATTCCATGAGATGGGGCCCTTTTCTCCTTTGTTTTCCCTATTAAACTTTCTTTCAACCCAGGAGTTCTCCAACTTTTACCCTTCTGATTCTCTCTGATTCCGCTCTTGGGCGAGCAAATGAGTGGCTACGTGGTGCTCGGCAGCCAGCTGGGGTTAAAACACGACAACGACTTGTTGTTGTTTAAATCAAAACGAATTAATTTTACGAAAACCCAGCCCGCCCCGCGCCCCAAGATGGCTGCCGGGAGCCCTCAGGGGCGGTGCTGAGGCGGTGCCAAGATGGCGGCGGCTCGGACTGCGGCTCCCGGCGGGCTGTGGGGATGGGCCTGCCCCGCCCGGCCCGGCACCGCCAGCGGGGGATCTGCTTCTTTTGTGTGCTTGTTTTGCCCTTTCTTTGTCTTCTTCTTTGTTTGTCTGTTTTTGTTTTAATATTAAAAATGAAAATCGGATTTTTTAACAGGTCTAGGTTCAGTGTTTGCTTGGAAACCAGCGCTGGCACTTGGTATGCGCCTGTATCCCTCTGAACACCTCACAAAATTAAATATGGTTTTTCCAGGTACCTCTGCAGCAAGGTGGCCCCCGGGCATTTTTTTTTTTTAAGTCCAATTCCACTGACTTTTAAGCTATTCTGTGATTTGAGCAGTGGAAGGTAAAATCACATAGGACCTCAGTATGGAGCGGTTTTAAGGTGTGGGGGTGAAGCGCTGTGTTATCAGTGTTTCCAAACCTTGAGAAATGACATGGCAGCCCCATAAACCACATTAATCACAGGCATGTGCCCTTCTCCTCGCCCTCTTGTGGGAGTTTGCTGGTGGAGGCAGCAGAGGCTCCTCAGGGGTTTGGGGTGAAAACCCGGACAGCTGAGCGAAGCTGGGCACAGAGGAAGTGCAGGACCCCCACCAGATTTCCTGGGGACAAGATGCATCTTTGGGACCTCCAGCTGATTTCTTGGGGACAGGACGCATCTTTGGGACCACCACCAGATTTCTTGGGGACAAGATGCATCTTTGGGACCCCCAGCAGATTTCCTGGGGACAAGATGCATCTTTGGTATCCCCACCAGATGTTCTTGGGGATAAGATGAATCTTTGGGACCCCCAGCAGATTTCTTGGGGACAAGATACACCTTTAATAACTTTCCTCAGCTGGCTGCAGCCCCGTGGTCCAGCTCACACTCTGCTGTTTGTGTTTTATGGCTCCTTCAGGGCTCCCTTCCCTCAGTCATGCCATCCTGCCTTCAGAGCTGTTTCACCTCATGGTCCTGCATGCCACGACGTTGGATGTGCCACAGCATCTCTGACTCACAGGAACAAGTTTTGGGGTGTAGTTTGAAGACACAAGGGAGGGCAATGGAGTGGGAAGGACTGTGTTAGCCCTGTTTGACCCAGCACATGTAGGAACTTGTGAAATGGAGGCTGATCTAAGGCTGTGCGTGCTGCTCCTTGGGACAACAGCTGCTTGTGCCCTTAGGTGTGCATTTTGAACTGTTCCTGTGGCTGCTCTCTCAGCCTCTTCATAATTTCTGTGAGAAAAGCACAAGTGGTTTTCCAGTCAGCTCACCAGCCCCCTTTCTGCCACAGGCTCAGGCAGGCTGGGATTCAGAGCTAGGGAAGCAAACACCAAACCAGATTCTTTTTCCTTTCTACTTCAACTGCAGGGAGATAATTTTTCTAATCAACACTGTTGCATGACTCAGAGCCACATTTAGAAAGGAACATCAAGAAACATGTCACCCTCTGCAGCTCTTCAACCAGGTACATGCCCTTTTTCCCTTCCCTGCTTCACGAACTGGGGAGAAACACCTGGAGAATCCAGTGATGATAATCCTGTCAGTCCCACAGCCTCTGGTTTTCATTAGCTCGGGAAACAGTGAGCAACCAAGAGAGAAAGAAGAGCACTCTGTACCATTTCTTTTTTTTTTGGTTTGTTTCAGGCAGGCAGGAAGGTGCTTTGCAGGCTGTAAGAGTTCCTTTGTTTTTCCTTTTCTTTCTGAGGGATTGTTTGGGCTGAGCAAAGCTTGGCAAGGTCGGTGTGTAAATATGAGAGGATACCAGAAGGAAATGAAGTTGGATTGTTGGAGAGTGTGCTCATTCCTTTGGCAGCAGGCTGCATGGGAAGCTTGTCACAGCAGGCATCTGAGCAGACTGGGGGTGGTCAGACCCGTGGCCTGAAGTCTGGCAGGTCTCAACATTTTCTCTGCTGTCAATCCCTACTCCTTTTTGTAGCCCAGCAGTTTGCTGAGACCCACAACATGGCCCATTTCACTAGCTGGGAAAAACAGACACTGTATATCCCTCAGTTTCTCCTGCAGCTCCTTCTCTGCTCCAAACTTTGGTCATAGAAGATCTTCCTCTCTTTCACACTGATTGAGCTCCAACTCCTCATATACGGAGCTGCATGTATCAAGGCTAGAAGCAATTCAAAGCAGAAGAAAGAAGCTGTTGTCAACCCTTTACCAAATTTTACTACCATGAGTATCTCCTAACAATCTACTCTCTTGTAAATTTTCTGTTGTAGGAACTATGTAATATGGTGTATCAGTAGAAAAGGTGGCACTAGACCAAACATCAATCTTGTCTCTTCCTGACATTTCCTTTTAAATGACACGATGTGTAAACCCTCACATCTCAGTGAATTTTTTGCTCTGTGGGTTCTCCCTCCACCCCTCTCAGTGTGTGTGCCAGTACCAGCCTGAAATACATTCTCATTAAGTATGACCATGGATGAACACTGGGCTGAGTGTGATGAAAATAGTAAATCTGCTTTTCCTGTGCCTCAATCCAAGCAAAATCTACCTCTTTTCTTTAATAATCCCAGTTACCTGCATTTCCCAGCAGGATCTTGGAACACCTGAGATGATGAATTTTGCACTGTTTTGAACAGGATGGCAGAATTCACTCGATACCAGAAATACACACCTGCTTGGGAAGCCTCACTGCCAGCATTAAGAGAACAGGGTACAGCAGAAGAAAGCAAATGCCACCCTGAATCCGTGCTAATATTTCTGGCTAATACAGAGTGGAGAGGATCCTAGAAAAGAAGGAATCAGCAGCCTCTGCCAGAAAATTTTGGCTGCCCTGCTTTTCTCTGGACTGGTGTTCATCGGTGAGACCTTTCAGCTGCAGAGGCAGGATTTGCATTTCGAGCACGGGACTATCCCTGAGGGCCATCTCCTCCTTGTTTTTACTGTTCCAGCCCATTGCTGGGCCCCAGCCAATGCTTCAGGCTCTGCCTTGCCGTTAGATGGCAATGCAGATCCACAGATCCTCCCTCTTCTTCCCTGAGCCCCTGGAAAATGATGGTGCTGCAGCTGGAATGGCTCATAGAGCCTCAAATCTTCTATTTCCGTCCATCTCACTTTGGGAGACTGAGGCACCTGAATTTGTTTTGCCTAAAAGAAAAGGAGCTGGCTGCCTCTGTGTCCTCAGTGGCACAAACCTTCCCTCTCTCTCCATCCAGGCCCTCCTTTGTGTGCAGAGGTTTGGGGTTTTTTTTTTGCTCTTCCATCAGTTAACTCATTTGTCTTTTGTTTTGCTGTTTCCACCACCATTTTGTTGTCTTGCTTGT